TTATATGGGAGACAGTCGGTTCATAAGTGGACTTCAAAATCGGCAATCTTAATTGAGTCGTTTGTCTGGCGTTTCTCATAGAGACCTATTTACGGATATACCACTATCACTTATATTCAAATACTTCTGCAGTTCACTCATCATCCATATGATAATTATCACCTTATATGATTTAATGTTGTATAATATATACGTATTAAAGAGCGTTGTTATTTAGAACGATAATGAACAAAATCTACGCGGAAGACAACAAACGTAAACAATTATTTCAAGGAAAAACACTCATAAATTTTAGGAGGCGCAGAGGAAAACTACGTAGTTCTTACTATGATAATACACAGAAGTGGGGTCAAACCCCGGCAGCAAAGTGGCCCCTGCAACCACAGTCCTGAAGCGTGGGTTGGTTGCAATAAGGCGAAGAGAAGAATTCCTAACGCCCCCACCAGAAAACGGGGCAATGCCCGCCTATCCAGTTAGTTTACTCAATGTACCATCATGGCTATAAGTTGGAATATTATGTATGCATTATGCAAGCATTCTGTTGTGGATCAAAGTTAACTTGTTAGAATTTCAGTCAACACGTAGCAAAATGACAGTGAACGAAAGATAAACTGATTGAAACTAGTCTAATGTATCAGTTAATGTAAATTATACGATGAATATTTATAAACTTTTCAAAATCGAATGATATATAACCTCATGATGCCAAGCCGTAGTTAAAACATGTCGTTATAATTGAGCTTTAAGATTCTCACGGCGACGAGTATAAATATGGCTGACTCCTGGAATGCTAAAGCGTGTAGTTTGATGATGGATACAAAAAGTCTTTCTTGAAACACCTGTCAATATCTACGAGACTACACTGTGAAACATCCTACAAGACAGTCATATTAATGTCATTGTTAATTTTTATATATAAATCCTATTTCTCTTGCAAACTTATTGGCATAAACAAAACTGCTTTCTTCTACAGGACTTTTATTGAAGAAAGTTAAAATGTGAAATTCAATAATGAAACCAAAAGCTTATGACGACAACAGCGTGAATATATATCCTCGACGACCAATGTTTTAAGTTTTATTCATCGCTGGGATGCCTCACGGTAAATATAAGATTCATTAAAACAGTTGCCAATCTACGAAACCGCTGTGAAATAATACTTTTTACGTAAAACAAAGACCACTAAAAGAAAAAAAATTAGGTACAAGGTACACCCATAAAAGAGCGATTTAATAATGATTCGAATTCGAGACAAACGAAAATTCTTGACACTTTATTTATATGACGCTGTTGTCTTGGATTGTGTTCCCTCCCGCGGTCATTATTATAATAAAGATATTTCTCACACAGCAACAATGAGCAACTGGTACCTTATAATAATGGCATGGGGTAAAGTGAGGACCACACCTTTGCATTATCATTGTCTCAAGAAAACATTAGAGCAGGGCGAGGTAAGTCCCTTGATGACATTCCACCTCCATTGCAACATGTGACATGTGCAGCCATCATAGTTTGTGGGCCTCCTACACGTACACTCCATAACAAAATATAATAACACCTATATTAATGACACTGTATTACCAGTAACAAACAAAAATTGACATGACAGCAGATCTGAAAAAAGAAATCGCAGTTACCGAACATAACTTGAATTTTGATATTGGTAACGATAAGGTTATCCCAGTAATTAAGCGCCATATAATAAAGTAATATAGGGGAACGGAGGTAAAATCTCACGCATTTTTAATCTCAGATTAGGATGGAGATGAGTGGTTTCAACACAGGGCGACATGAATGTAGTGAAGGAAGAAAATATCGCCCCTACGGTAACAAAACCACGGTCGTCAATCCCGCAGAAAGTTGAGAGTAAGGATAACACGTAATAATAATAATAATAATAATGAGACGACAGATCACGTTGTGTCCGGATGCCCCGTGCTCGCAAAAGAGCAGTATATACAACGACATGATCGTGTCTGTACTCAGTCACATTTTAACATATGCAGGAACGCTGGGGTAATGCTAGAAGACAAGCATTGTTATGAACACAACCCGAAGACAGTGGAGACAAGTCAAGATGGCCAAATAACTATTTTGTGGAACCAGCAAATCAGAACAGATAGAACCATCCCAAATAATAAACCTGACATAATAATCAGAAACAAAAACGGAACTTGCCTCTTAATTGACATAGTAACACCGACTGACAGGAATGTTATTAAGAAGGAAGCAGAGAAGATCTTGAAATACAAAGACCTTCTCATAGAAATACAGAGAATGTGGAAGGTTCAAGCAAAAGTAATCCCAGTAGTTATAGGGGCAACAGGAACTGTCTCCAGGTCGCTCAGGAAATATTTGGCCAACATCCCGGGCGAACACGACATCAGGGAACTGCAGAAGACCGCCATTTTGTGAACTTCATACACCATTCGAAAGACGCTGTCATAAAATAAAATTATATAATACATGTGACACTTGCTAAAAACAATATGTATCCCGGAAATAGCTACTGCCCTATGTACGTTAGGGACAAGGTCTGTCTCGGGTACATGGAAGTACATGCCCCATAAAGTGGTGAAGAGATGGGATAATTCAATTCAATTCATTTATTAAAGTGCTTAACAACAGCCAAAAAGGCCAAAATATTAATAATAATAATAATATAACGAGTCAGATAAAACAAATTGGTTTATGCCTGGCACGTAAAACTCAGTGTCTACTAACGAACGACTGAAAAAGTGGCTTCCTGAGGACAATACATGGGTGGAAAAATCATAAGTGCCAACATTTACAACTTTCAAGCTTAGCTTAAAACGTATTTTTTATTTCCCCACAGACACACACAAATGTGAATTTCATTTAAACATATTTCCACTTTATTTAACTAAAATGTAATCCGGCGGTACTCAACCTAACATAATAAGCAGTCATTGACATGCACATGAAACTTAATTTTTTTTGAAATCATGTAAAATTTGAGAAAAGGGTCAGGATACAGAAAATACTGAAAAGGGCCACATGCGGTCCGCGGGCCGCGGGGTTGTTATGCCAGGAATAAACTGCAACTAAAATACTGTAAGTGCCTACCTAGTCAGGCCTTTCTATAAGAAATGAAGTGTCGATCAAGACAAACAACTTAATAGCAAACGTATCAAATAACAACACCAATAATGTAGCTAAGGTAAAATATACATTACATAATTAAACGCTAATTATAATTTCGTACGAAGTGCTTATATACCGACCGACAGCGGATTGTTAAATACTGGTTGACAAACACAGCATTACAAGTATAATTACAATTAGGTCTCTCTGCATGCTAACTCCATGGAGAATATTTCTTATTGAGAAGCATGAAGTCGATCGGCCAATCAAGAAATTCCCCTCTTTCTATGGAGCCCGAAAGTTCATTACCTTGTTCACAGCGACTGGACCACATGAATCTAATCCACAACATCAGATTCTATTTCTTTTATATCCAGTCTAGTATCATCCTTCCATCTACGTCTAGATCTTTCATAATACGCCATAATATCATGTTCAGAGTCGGCTAGTCAAACTCTCAGCTGTTCTTCGGCAATAAAGTCATCGACCGTGTTCCTTTTGTTCAACCGAATTGAGATAGCATATCAACGTACCTGACCACCAATTAAAAGAAGAAGTTTACATATTAATTGAGTGCATTGTGCTAAGTCAGAAGGGTAAAGAGATGGCTTATCAGAACTCCGTTAATTACAAAGCTCTGGTCTGTCATACACCCTCTACTCATTCTAATGGATCGTTGTTCGATTTGACAGAGGGTCTACGCCTCATTCTTTCTTTCTTTTTTAATCGTACATACATGACTTTCAAATCATGCAACAGAAACTACGGTAAGTGTTTGCGGTATGTACAGTTTTGAATATACGCGACGAAATGAACCACAACAATAAAGAGTCTCAAAGTTTCTGTAACCGAGAAACTGCTAACTTCGTAGGGTAAAGTTTGTTTCTCAACAGCGTAGATCAATGTTTCTCAATCCAATGTAAATTAAATTCTCTACCGCTATTTTTAAGAATTATATAGGCTCAGATGTCTTAAATTCTTATATAAACATAATAAAAATTGTTAATTAACATTTCCTTTCTTGGTCGTTATTTTAGCAATAAAGCAAAACACAGAACTACATTATAAATTGTATGTAAAGACAAACTTAAATGATGTACCAAAAATGTTTGATAACAAAACTTGCAGAAAATTAAAATAACAATTGAAGTAATAAAATAGCGTTGCTGTTCTTTATCATTCAGTAATTTTTATCTCTTCCCATTAGTTAACAAAAATAAAATACCCCTGGTAGTAAAGAGCTTTCGGCTCGGTAAAAATATGCCGCGAATTTCTGCCTACCGCAGACCTGGGGTTGAGAAACGCTGTTCTAGAAGGCTCATAACCATATTCAGAAGATCCTACCCATTTACTCTAGATAATATCTGCATTGAAAATGCCAGAACACGTTCATTGTGCCCCATAGCCGTAAAATATAACTCTTTCGTGTAAAACTGAAACCAAACCTTCGTAATCCTCTTTAGAAATTCAAAATACCTCCGACGCAAACAGCGAAAACAGAAAAATCAACACGTTATTAACCCAATTTAGCTGTTAATACGAAAATGTATAGTGTTATATGCCGGCATTGTTATACAACCGATTAAATCATGAAAGAAACTAAATTTAAAGTAATAAATAGACTGCAAAAAGCAATTAAATTGGCCAGCATAGTTTAATGGTCCATTACTCATCCATGGCCTTAAGCAAGAGCTGTGTATGTCTCTAGACACTACTTTCACGACAGTAGTTAGTGGTTCTAAACCAATGGGTAAAACATGCAGTCCTACCATTAGCAGCAGGTTCGCGGCATTATGAGAGGTACGTCCGAATATGTTACACGTATTATCAGACATGGAATAAATAAAGTTTGTTTTCAAATAAAAGTACTTGAAAAGTAAATTTTCGTTTCTCACCTAAAGATGGAAGCAGTGTGTTCATCCGAAACGCTGGTACCTGCAACATGAAAACATACCGTCACAATACAGAAGACCCAACGCTGACGTTCTATTAATTTATCCGTGAACATAAACTTGATTTGTTACTGTCATTCAAAAATATTTGAACGTTGCTACATTTTCTAGTGATTTATTGTCTATTCTTACGCTGTGATTTCTCCCGTATTCTTAAAATACGTTACTAATGCGAAGTACGTGTCGTATTGACTACCTAACTCTCAAGCATGATAAAACAGGTGGTCCAGAATTATGCTCTGTTCAAGATGTGTATGGAGCGGAAGTGCACCATACGAGGAACAAAGATAGACAAATGACCTGCTTTTATCCGTGCTCATATGAGCTCACATGTGTTCAGATTAAAGCGTCCCCGGCCCAAGACCAATCCGAGGCCAATATGATATCGCTCCCTGACGAGTTTTTATTGATGCCTGTCCATACACATCTTGAATAGACCATATTACTGGAGACACCCATCGGGTGTGGTTATTTGTATTTTTTCTCCAAACACTTGTTGTCTTAAGTTGCTAGGTGATGACACAGCAGTTCCAACAAGAAACCTTGCTCCTTCCTTGTCAGGGATTAAACAAACAAAAAGCATTCACAATGTTTCGCCTACTAAGCGTGGGATGAAATTGAAGTCATCGCTGATCGTGATTAAGATAACTTTTAACTGATCAACGGAAATTCATGTTCATTAATTTTCCAGCCAACAGAACCACAATTCTGCTTGAAGGCCGAGAGGCTATGCGATAAAATTTCTGTTTAATATAAGCAGATGATGTCTAGCGCTGTGTCTTAAGAGTGGATGTTCAAACCCCGCTTCCAGCTGGCTGTTTAATTCTGATGCGTCAGCGTCACTGTTTCTGTTGCTGAGGAGAACCACGACATGTGCCATCATAGATTGTGGGCATTCTTGTTTGCAATACTGCAGATTTGTAGGTTGTTAACAGAGCCTTAGTGGAAAATTCTACCTCCATCTTCAGGAAGGATACACGTTTCTCTGAAATTCTGACAACAGCCAATAGTCTAAACGGCGTCACAACCCAGAAGACCAGCTTATGCAACACTGAAAAAATTCGGGTAGACAACTTCTAGAAATTCTGGTATAATTTTAGAAAAATGTTAACTAGAAATGATCTGAACAGTAGATGTTTTATCTGCTCACTTCTTATCTGCAAGTCTAATGGTGTGTAAACAGTCCTAATAATTGAATAATCATTCCGTAAAATGCAAGGAAAAATTTCCCTCTACCAATGGATAAAGCAGACACATGATTTTAACAGCACCCACAAGAAAAAAGTAGAAACGAAACATAATTAACTCAGAATTGTTGCAATAATATCCTATTTTATTTTAATATTATTGTAACAATTACTCTACATAATTTTATTTGTTAATATTGTCTATCTATTCTCTTACTTTCCACCTCTATAATCTTTAGATATCGCTTATTTGACACCTCAAAGACAAAGTGTATGAATTTATTGCCCCAAATATGAAATTAAAAAGTTACAGTGGAACCAGGGTTCCGGAGAATTTGACGTAAATACGTCTCTGTATTTAAACTATATTTATGTCTCTGTAATGTAATGTAATGTTATCTTCAATGTCATCCATCTTGTTACGAAAGCGAATTGTTAACGGCAGTAATGTAACACAACAATGCCGAGTAAACAGATGACGTTTCCTAAGTAACATAACAATGCACGCAAGCTGACCATTGTTGTCGGTCCATATTTACACATTGTTGTCGATTTGTTGATACGGATCTTACACATTTTTCTGTCACTTTTTCGTTACACTTTTTCGTAACACTTTTTTTGCGGAATGACCCTTCCATATAGACGTATTTACGCCAAAAATTCGCTATAAGGAATCAAAATTCACCTAACTTATTTTTATAGCGACAATACATTGTTCGTTCATTATTCCGCCTACATCTGTGACATAAGAAATAAAAAAATATCACTGTTATTTATTTAATCTGTGATACCCGCGTTAAGAAAGAAACAAACAGTGTTCAACGACTATATATACAAACGTTTTTATGACCCCTGAAATAACACAAGAATAAATGCGGTATTTTGTTTATGTGGGTGAGCTGCAAGACAACAAGAATATTAATATGCTATTGACAATCTGCATTGACATTAGAGGTCAGAAATAAGTTATATGACGTCAAATATAGATCTACAAAAAAAGAATAAAAAAGTGACACAAACAAGCAGTCTATATATAAGAAAGCACACCCGCATAGGCTAGATCTTTCTGGAGCTAGTTAGATACTAGTGGTTTATCGTTGATAACAGCACAGTCATTTTAATCCTTTAAAATTAATTCGTAGAAAAATACACACACACACGAAAAGAATTGAGAGACAAGAACGGAATATATTTTTACTGTATATTAGCTAATGTAAAGAAGAATTCGGGCATCCACGGTGGCTCAGTGTTAACGAGTATCTTGTGCTTAAACCAATAATAAATGGCAGGGACCATCTGCTATTCTTTTCTCCTTCAAGATGGAGGCAAAAAGGATCTACGAAACGTCACATGTACATATGGCGTCATAAAGCAAAAAACAGGTTAGTGTGACGAGCTTCTCTGAAAAATAAATTCTTGTAGGTATAGTGTTGTAATTCAATTAAAATTTAATAACTGTTTCAATACATCCTATATCCATCAAAAGGAAAGTGATTTGGAGACACCTCGGAGCTTTCGGAAGGGATACAGCATTCCACGGAGAATCAGATCCACCTACTATCAATTTTCAACAGGAACAATACTGACCAGCTTTTTTTGAAAGGTAAGCGATGCATTTGCAGGTACATCACCATAAAGCTGCCTCATGTCGTCCTCTTTTGGTTTCAGAACAAGACCAGCGTTTCGGACAAGCTAAAATATATTTTAAAGCCTTTTCTGTGTAATTTAATAGTTTGCTTTACATTTCATAAAATACGACTTTAAAGCATGGTTGTCCCCCCCCCCCTCCCCGGTTCAGAATATCAACACGTAGGCCTTTTTAGATGCTCCTTGACTAACGGCAAGTCATAATTTGTATTATATAATTGGCGTGTCATTTTGTAAGTCGGCTTTCACAGTTATACGCCATCACATGTAAACGCAATGTACGTCTACCTTAGTTTTTAGCGTAAAATACCTTGAAATTTATTTCATTTCCTAAACAAAGTAGCCTTCTGACTAAAAAGAGTTGATTCTTCGTGCTTTAAGCAATTTTTTTCTGAAGGGTTAATCAAATCAGGAATAACTGTTTACCTTTTGGCCAACATATTTCAGAAAAACAACAATCTCATCTTTACTTAAAAATTATCCCATTTATAAGTTGGAGGCCCAAGGAGTTACGTCCGATCTGATATTTTCCGTCAGAAAACATAAATCGGAACAAACAGCAGCTGTTCAACCGAGGGGCATGGGTTAGAAATCTGGATACTTGGACGTCGGACACAGGCCTGTAATTTCAACGGTCTCAGATGTTTGACGGACGTGGAATAGATTCCACGTTTTATATAAATTTATTCCTAAAATTTATTGCTGAAAGCACAGCAACGACACCTGTTTCATCGAACAAATAAAATAGTATGCAAATTAGTAAAACAAAGACTGTTGTCCTAACTTCATTTTATGACCGCCCTTTTCCCTGTCTTGAATCGATTATAGTTATTATGTAGGCCTATATTAGTACTGAAAATATTGATTACGTGGAGACATCTACATTCAGCATCAATGTTTACATCTAATTTAATCAAGATTATAACAAAGGCTTTTGTTTAGACTCGCATTTCAAACTTGTCAAGAACTGAGCATAAAAGACACAATGCTAACCTTGCAAGGCATTCAGCTCTACGTATGTAAATGTTCTGTCAAAGGAACAATACAAGAGGTCGGCGTTTGTAAACAAGACAATAATTCTGCTAGTTGTTTAGTACTGATGAAACCAAGTCTCTTACTTTAGGGTAGGACATGAATTACAAGTGTTTTAAACAAATGTTTTGTAAAATGTTGAACTAAAGAAAGTTGTAGAAGTGTGGAATGTAGAATATTATTTAACAAAGTCACTTCGCGATCTGTAACATTTACCTAGGAAGCTGCGTTAGACTGGGCGTGTAGCTAGTATGAGGATGGGTTGGCGATTTTAAAAATGCATACAGAATTCTGTTTTTCAAACTTCCTGAGAAATTTTCACGGAGGAGTAACGAATAACGGGAAGACATCTCTGTGATATGGAAACGAGGGTCGGAGATGAAGGATTGTGTCAATTTGCGGAATTTGGTATTAGCAATAAAACCTCCTGCTACCAAATTGTTATGTAATTAAATGGTTACAGTAACTGATACGCTGATGTGCAACACTGTATATATTGCGCAAGATCAATGCTCTTGATAAAATATACCCATTTTTTATTTGAATTTCATCACGACTCTTTGACATAAGTTAATTAAAGTATTGCAATAATCTTCAAGCAGATGAGTTTTCAGATTCTCACGGTGGCGACTATGAAGATTAATCTTCTGGGATGTTGTACCATGTAGTCTGATAGAAATTAACAACGTTTTAGAGGTACATGATGCCTCCATCATCAGGGCGAGTAACATCATGCGCATATAACAGACATTTTAATAAAATAAAATTAATAATAAAATATATTACAAATAATTTGACACTAAAAGTTTTCGTTTAAAATATTATACATGTCCATTGATTTGATGTTTACTGTCACCTGGTCTCTTTTATTCATGATTTATTTTAGCCCCACCCGTCTGACTCTCTTTTACATAGCAAACAACGGTTTTGCACACCACACAAACACAATCAGATCCTTAAAAGAATATCAACACCTCCAACTGCAGTTCCTAAGAAAATGCAGTTAAAGCTGCTGCATTATTTTTCACCTTGCAATTAAGAACAGAACTTACACTCAGGTGCACAGAAATAATAGTCGTAATTGAGTAGTCAGCTCTCGGCTTCTGAGTCGAAAAATTCCGAGTTTAACTCTCCTGATGCACTTATAGTTTAACTCAGTCCCTCTAAATAAATATTTGGATAGTGCCTTAAAATAGGCTGCGATAGCTTCCTTTCCAATTCATACCTCATGACAGTACGGTTAGGTAGTTGGTTAAGCGCTGATATACAAACCAAAAGAAAAGAATCTGGTATTTTAAATATATACAGGTCTACCCGTCAACCGGTTCTCTCCTGACACCATCTTCATATCACACCACGTTTTACACTCATTAATATAGTATGCTTCTCCATAGTTCAGAGAGAAAAATGCTTCGTAAAACATTCAGGACTATTAGAAACGTAGCGTGGTTTATGCGGTCCAACTGCAGTAATTTTACCGACCACAGAATAAAAAAATGTACTTAATGTAATTTAACGACGGTTGTTTATATCCATTGTAATTATTTTTTTCTGTCGTTAACTGGTCCCTAGCCACAACAGATTAGCATATGCTGTGGGTCCAGCGATGTTGAATGAATGGGATGCTTTGTTAATTACTTAGATTTCATAGTATCGATGCGGAAAAGTTCAATTAACTGATTTAAAAATATTTCAGGGCCTTATTGCCTGCTGTTGAATTATTTAGTCTCTTAAGTATCATGTTTTATTTATTAACATATGACCCAGAATTTCTTATAGTTTACAGCAATGTAGTAAGGAACATTGTTTTCATAAACGAGGGCGTAGGTAAAAATATAAATGTACGTACACTAAACACACCAAAAATTTCTTCCTCCCCAATTCATGGATGCTAATAAAAATAAATTTCTTCCCCCCGTGACCGGGTTTAATGATCCACTTCTGTATAATTTTCACTAACGAAAATTCTCAGTGTGTTACAAGTGACAGATCACTAACTTACATATAACTGTTTATTTACATCTTTAGTTAACTAAAAAATACTGGCTGAAGCCTTTGAAGGAAAGAGAATGTGAAATTCCTTGTTTGTTTAGTCAAGATTTGGAGTTGCGTTAAGTCATAAGGAATGGAATATTTCTGTTTGTCCAATGTTTAACTTCTGTAGACGTTTATTTTAATATCTCTTCTCTTCCTTCCTTCCTTCCTTCCTACATTTCTAAACATATCCTAAAGGGAATCTTCCAACATGGATAAAGTTTCCGAAGCATTTCACTTTATTTTAGTTAGGAGGTCTACAGTAAGCTGAGTTTTACCACCCATACCCCTCCCAACATGTGTAATCTTTAAAAAGGACATTTTCAAGCAGGAGGTTATACATCTATATTATCTATTTCCACGCAAAATTATGAAAGTTATCTCCATTTTTCAATCATATGAAAGGGAAAATATCCCTTCGGTTAATATCGTGCGGCAGCCATGTTGCTGTCTTACAGTTCTCAGAAGATACATGTTTATTAAAAGCCTTTAACCTAAAAAAATTCAGTGTCTGTCTTAAGTGGTGGTTACTTCAACAACAGAAGTTAGAATGGCCATCAGATCAATTCTGATGACTATACAATATCGCAATATGAAGGTGACTAGTTCTATCATCTTAATAATAAGCTTCATGAAAATGTGCCAACTGTGGCTCAGATTTAGGGGACAAATGAAGAAATTAAGGGACAAACACTGGATATTATGCTATAAAACAAAATTATCCGGATGCAGCGGGTGAATCGCTTTATTTACGTACTACAGTTACAAAGATTGAATCCCGAGTGGTACCTGACAGGGCTTATTCATAATTTATTTTACTTTTTCTTCTCGAACAGTGCCTTTAAGAGAGATTGACAACCTCAGTCCTGTTAATGTTCTTATCCAATCCCCTCAGTTGATGAAGCATCGTTCAACAAGTTTAGATGTATACAAAGGAATAAATAAGATGTCTACTAACATGTCAAGAGAAAGAAACAGACTTTAGTTCTTTATATGCGAACTTTACAAATGTTGCGTGACTTAACGCGCCGTTCATAAGAGCGACCCCTAATCCGGAATTCATATTTAAAAGAGACAAAACCCACGCAAGCGCAGTGAGTGCAATAAGTTCTACACCGCCCTAAGTGAAGGTTAAATAAATATCTGTGGCGGACAGTACCTAATATTTCTATAGATTTTACGCAGATAATTATAATTTTCACCATGAAACAGAAATAAAAATTCTTAAAAAAATTTTCCTCGACAATGACTTTAATCAGACACAATTTTAGTGCAAATACAAATGTACGAAAATACTACCTTGGCATAAAAGAATCTGCTTAAACAGAATAAATGTGCTGCCTGAAGATCTCGGTACTGTTCCTTAATTGTCGGTTCATTGTTTTGTTATCTTCTTCACACTACTGCGTGTGTGTGTGTGTGTGTTGGTGTGTGAACTTCCTTATACGGTCATGGTAACCTTACAAACTCCGCCCCGTGATCTGAAACCTCCCCACCGCCCCCTCCTGGACATCATAATTTTTCCCAGGTCCCCACCACTACAACCCCAGGACGCATGGCCCACCGGTGCACCCTCCTCCAGTCATACCGCAATCTTTGAGTTTAAAGTTGAGTGCTCCAAGCAGTACCACGCCAGTCAGTCGTTTCGTGCACAGGATCGCGGGTTGCTTTTATACTGTATTCTTCACTTGTTGCTACACCGAATCTCTGTCTAGCTACTCAGTATTAACACTTTATGGTAATATTTACATATTTAAGGTGAATTGTGCTTATTCGTATCTAACATCCAGTATCGGTTTTGACGACTACAATTTCCCGTGTTTCACCAACTTGAAGGCTAAAATCGTGTGTAACACGGTAGATCTTCCTCATTTGATTCTCGCTTTACCT